AAAATCCCCCCGCCTTCTGAAAAAAAAAACCCAATCTCCTCCGCCTTAGCCACAAATCCTTAATACTCAATACACAATATTAATACCCCCTCTACTAAACACAGGCACAAAACGCACCTCCGGCCAGTCACTGTTGTATTAGGTGTAGTAGGGAATTTCAGGGTTCTCTGTAGAGTGTTGTTGTGGTTGCATTGTGATGAGAAGTTGGAGATATTGCGTTGTGCAATTTTTTTCTAGAAAGGATATGTTGTATATTCTCCTTTTGGGTTGATACATGTAAATTGTTTTTAAATGATATTGTTGTCATGCTGTTCATTCTCGCATTCCTTAAAAGGGGGTCTTAGGAATCGAGGAGGAATGAATGGGAAGGAAGGAAGGATCGCTTGTGGCTTCAGATTCCTGACGCATATAATAATCCCAATCAAAAATTCTCTTAAAACAATCACTGCACGACTGCACTGCACGACTGCTAGACACAAGCGGCGCTTCTTCATCATTTCATCCTGAGGTTCATTGATCTATACCTGTATTTCTTTCCTAATCAAGACTTTGCCTGCCACCCCCTTGGATAAGTGAGGCTATCATGGAGCCTCAACTAGGTACCCAACCAACCTTCGCCCAAAATATATCAACCAAAGCTGCAGACGCATGGATGTCGCATGATTTTCCAACCCATCTATGGCAACACCGTCTCCGAGTAGTTCGACCCATCATTTTTGCTGCCGGCTATTTGGATAATGATAAACAAATGTTGACTTTGAAAAGTCTATGCCAGCATATATAGGTAGTGGGTGCGAACTGTAGAGAATAAAGTGCGTCTGGCGCATCGACTTATTCTGTGAGGGACAGAGACCGTGATTTGCTCCACGGGTCTAGAAGTCGAGGAATAATTTACTAAATCTGCATTTCGGTCAGTACAGCTTCTGACATTTAAATTTGAGGGACCAGGAACTCACTCATCATGGCCCTGCTGTCCATATTGCTCTGTCTCTTCAGGATACTTGTCAAATTGGCTTGCATCACCGACACCAGCCTTGACAGGTGGAACGTATGGTGCATCAATATCCTTCTTGGCCAATCTCTCCCACGTGACTTCGGCAAACCAGGGATGATTCTTGACGTCTTCTGAACCTCCGTGCAGGTTGCCCAGCCGTTTCGTTAAGTCGGCAGTGATCAGACGTTGAAGCAAGTCTTGCGCATCTGGATGGATATAAGGCGGGTACTTGACCCGGCCTTTAAGAATGTTCTCGTAGATCTTCATTGGAGAACCGCCGTCCCAGAAAGGTGTAAACCCGCAAAGCATTTCGAAAATTAATATGCCTAATGACCACCTACACATAATATTAGGTCATGATAATGTCAAAACTTGGAAAATTTGACGCACCAGTCTACGGACTTATTATACCCCTTGCTTGAAACCACTTCCGGTGCCAGATAATCAGGGGTTCCACAAAGGGTCCAAGTGATGTCAGGGACCTTCTTGGCGAAACCGAAATCCGTGATCTTGAGATGGCCGTGCCGATCAAGAAGCAGGTTTTCTGGCTTCAGGTCTCGGTAGATGATATGCTTGGAGTGAAGATATTCAAGTGCTAAAGTGACTTCTGCAGCGTAAAACTTTGCTACTGGATTAGGGAAACGCTATAACATATTTTAGTCGAGCTTATTCACGTAGAGATCAAAAACACCTACCTGTGATTTTCGTAACAAAGAAAATAGTTCTCCTCCCTCTACAAAATCCATCACCATGTATAAGTTTTTCGAGTCTTGGAACGTGCCCCACAGTGTAATAAGAAAGGGGTGCTTGACTTCTTGTAGCATCCTTCGCTCGTCATTAGTATGTTCAACCTGCTTCATCTTCACAACCTGCGCCTTCTTCAGCACCTTAATAGCATAGAACCGTTGGTTGTGTTTCGATTGGACTAAGTGCACCCTTCCAAAACTTCCAGTGCCAAGTGTCCGCTGTAGTTCGAAGTCCGCCAGTGAGTATTTGCCCTTGGTCTGTCTTATCTGCGGCTGCTGCTGCACCGCCTGTGCCTGCGGCAATTGCTGGGTATGATGTTGGGCATGATGTTGGGCATGCTGTTCGGTATGCTGTTGGGCATGATGTTGGGTATGCTGTTCGGTATGCTGTTGGGTATGATGTTCGGTATGATGTTGGGTATGGTGTTGAGGATTACTGGCCCCGGCATTGGCAGCGGCTGGAGTGTTCGATGCCTCCTGTGCTGGATGTGATTGGGTCGCGCCATCGTGTTGCGGAGGGTGAATGAGGTTATTGATGCTGGGTAGGTTCTGCTGCTCTGCAGAACCCGTGTTGCCAGGAGACGCCGCGTAGGTCTGCTGTTGGTGGGCGACCCCTTGCGTCATTAGTCGTGGCTCGCCCGCAACGGCGGGACTCTCTTCCTTGATGGGGGCGGGGGATTGAGATGTGCCTTCAGCTTGAGGGTTCGTAGATTGGGAGGAGATGGACGGTTTGGTATTGTCGAAGCCTCTGGATGAGGTGGGGGTTATCGGACTAGTAACCTGGCTGGAAGAAGGGGAGTTTTTCTGCTCCTTGGACCGTATCTTCTTCAAAAATCCGAGAGTCGGCATAGGAAGGGCTGCTATTGAGGTGGAGACCGATCAACAGCAGAGACCAGCGTCAATGCTGTATCGTGGGTCGGGCAGGGGGAGGGCGGCGGCGGCGGCGGATAGGAATGAGGAATAAGGAATAAGAATAGAGACAGGGAAGAATCCAAAAAGGCTCAGACTTCTCGACCTCCGGCAACAGTGAGACGTCCTGAGGAGGACGCCCTGGAATGGCTTCTGGAATGTCTCGCCCTGCGATCTGAACGAGCAATAAGAACGGCGACCGAGAGAAAGGAGCGGCTTCCTGCAGTTGTGGCGAGGCGGAGCGGCCGTGGGAGGCTGAGGCTGCAGAGAGCAGCAGAGAGGATCGCAAGAGGCCAGCGACAATGAATTGAGCAGATGCGTATGTCGCGCGGCGACTGGGAAGCGGTGGGGAGAGGAGATGATGGGAGAGATCGGGTGATTGGGCGGTTGGAGGTGAGGGAGGAGGTTGGATGTTGGATAGGATCGCTCGAACTACTATGGCCCGCCTCGCCTGGTGGGGTTGGCACCCGAGAGGGCAGAAGAGGGGCCTGGCTTCAAGCGCCTCGCAATGAACCAAGACGAGGGAGACAGAGAGACAGAGACAGAGACAGACACAGACACGGAGAGAGTGTTGAAAGCGCTCCGTCTTTGATTTATTGTAAAGAGCATTGAGGAGGTGTTCTTGGCAATGTGGGAAAAGAAGCCAAGTTAGCTCGATGATGCATACCATAAGAGGTAACGGGATATCCTAAATAGCCGCTACATTATTACCGCGAATTCATGATGTAAGTATCTAATAGGTAAATACCTTAACTCTATTCCAAATCCACTCGTGATGTACCTATACCACCTATCTACCCCATAGAAGTGGGGTTTTGAAGCTCTAACATTGACCATACAAATGCCCCACCAAAGACTCTGGCCTGATCTGGATCGACTCCCACTCAATGCACGCCCCAAACCCTATATTGTAGATCATAGCAGGAAACAACCTTCATCAACGCCGTCGCTATGCTGATTCCCAAGCCCTCTTAACTCCATATCTGTTTATGACCTTTTATTATCCCGCACGTCTGACCACATCTGGTCAATGATCTGGAAGACTTCTGTAACGGCTTGGATCACAGCCTCTTCAATATCTTGACCTCCAAGCTTCTGCTGAATCTTATCAGGGTGCCACCGAACTCGTTCCAGCTTCAGGACCTTTCCGAGCTGTGCCTCCGTAGGTTGTCCGGAAGTCGGGGCATGTAAAAAGAATCTCTCTACTTCCTTCGATGAGACATCTTTCCGCCTTCCACTCTCAACAGGCCAGGGCATGGCTGCAATGGTGACTCTTGTTGAACCGCCTTTGGCAAGCTCCTCCCATTTTCGCAAATAAGCCTCCCACTTCTCGGACCACGCCTTTCGAGATCTTCTCTCCTCGCCCCTCTTCAGGCTTTCCTCGACCTTCCTTCTGAACCTCTCCGCCTCTCTTTCCGCTTTCCTGCCCTCGCTGGCAAGCCTTTCCCTCTCCTTCTTAGCAGCATCCCTCCTAGCTTTCTCCTCCATAAGATGCTGATGTGTCTTCTCATACATCTTTGCCCTCACATATGCCGTGTATTCCTCGTCCGTCATGCGCTCTAGTTCTCCTTCAGGACCCTCTTTGACATTCGGATATGTATGAATTGGTTGGCCATAAACCCCCTCCCAGAATTGTGCTCCTTCATCGTCTGCCATAGCATCGAACAAACTCTCTCGAAAAGCAACTTCGGGATCCATAAATTGACCAGAAGATGTATTCGGAAGGTGGGTATCATCGTATAGAGACGGGTCATCGCGTTCCTTGGTCGTTGACGGCGACCCTCTGCGCCTCTTGGTTCGATGATGATGGCGATGATGTCTGTGTCCGTCGCGATGAGACCGAGGGCTTCGGGATCGCTCGTCGCGGTCGGATTTCCTCTTCGACTTGAACCGGAACTTCGAGCTCTGTGTCGCCTCATATTCGTCTTGATGGGGTCTCTTGTCGCGATCATCTGAACCTTCGACGACGCCCGGGTCACTATCCACGTGGGAAGTCATCGTCACCTGTAATATTCAAGAGCATGAATCATCTCATGGGTCTTCATCCGCCAGATCTATGAGTTTCAAGTCATATCTTTCGTAGCGGCGAAATCATTGTGGTGATTTGAAAGGAATCTCGTTGCTCTCGCTAGAATATCGAGACCTCAAGTGACCAAAAGGTGAAATGCGCTAAGTTCCTTGAATGTCCCGGCATAAGATTGTCAAGAGGGTTTCGAAAACTAGGATTCCGTGAATGAGTATCTCCGGAGACACAATAGATCTATGTCACCCTCGACGCCCTTCCAGGGTCACAGCTGTCGTCTGTTGGAGGGTCATGCGGCTCTGGTTCGCCTCGGGCATGATTGCCCCGCCGGATAACCTGCGATTTATTAGACCCCGAAATGACAACGCCTCGAATATCAGGACAAAAGGTCGAGCGTTAGGTAGAACAGAATGTCAATAGTAGATTTCATCACGAAAAGATTAAAACTTAAATTGCTTGGTTTTCATAGTAGATACATACATAAAAATTTGACTAGGGAGTTGGAAATGTTCCTAGGTAAATACGCCGAATATTCGCAGAGCGATAAATGCCCCCGTAGTGCTTAGCGTCTTAATTTCACCTCCCAACTCCTTCAACACATCATTCAAAAACATTTTTTTGCCACAACGCAAACACCGGACTTTGGGTCTTGATTTGAGTTCAAGATGTCTGGTAACGGGCTTTCGTATGGACTCAATATCACAAAGAAACCAGGCGGGTCGAAACCCCAACCAGCAAAGCGGAAACCGATATTCGGTGAAGACGATGATTCAGATGGAGAAACCAATGCGCCAAAAGAGGTCGAGGTACAGGAAATCGGCGAGTTTGGGGGAGCATCAACGGGACAAGAGCCCACGAAGAGTTCACAGAAATCCTCCGGCTCGAAAATAAGTAACGGCAAGCCAAAGCGCAATACTGCAGGTACGAAAGCGGCGCCCATCAGCATGTATGGGGATCTTTCTTCATCCCTCACATCCAAGAAACATGCAGAGAGTGCAGAGGAGCTTGACGCGAACATCTACGACTATGATGCCGTGTATGATTCTCTCAAACCCAAGAAGAAGACCACAATCGAGGACCAGGAGAGAAAGCCGAAGTACATGAGCAACCTACTTGCAGCCGCCGCGATACGCAAGCGTGACGCAACGATCGCGGAGGAAAAGAAACTGGCGCGCGAGAGAGAGGCTGAAGGAGACGAATACGCCGACAAAGAGAAATTCGTCACCTCCGCTTACAAGAAACAGCAAGAAGAGAACCGACGGTTAGAGGAGGAAGAGCGGATCAGGGAGGAGCAGGAGCAAAAGAAAAATAAAGGAGCTGGGATGACGAACTTCTACAAGAATATGCTGGAGCGAGGAGAACAAAAGCACGCAGAGGTGGTGAAAGCTGCTGAAGAGAGACTCAAGAACGGCCCACAGGAGGAAGAGGAGACCGAGCCGGAAAAGACCGAGGCGGATTTGGCTCGTGAAATCATGGAGAAAGCTGGCGGTGCCATTGCAATCAACGATGAGGGGCAGGTCGTCGATAAGAGACAACTGCTCAAGGGTGGCCTCAATGTTGCTCCAAAACCCAAAGGCACTGCTTCAGTCAGCTCACAACGCGGTGGCTTATCGACGGCTGATCGTAGCAGGGGACCCGGGGTTGGAGGAGTTGGAAACAGTAAGCAAGCTATGCGAGAGCGTCAGTCTCGCATGTTGGAGGCGCAACTGGAACAGGCTACCAAACGAGCCCTAGAGGAAGAAGAGGAGGAGAGACAGAAAATCGAAAGAGCCTCGAAGAGCAGAAAGACCGAAGGAGACATTATGAGTGCAAAAGAGAGATATCTTGCCCGGAAACGCGAGGCCGAGGAAGCAAAGAAGAGAGGCGAATGAGCAATACGTTTCAATGGTCGAAGCGGTTTTACAGTTTGCTAACTTAAGAGCTCGAATATATTCGCCGGGATAAGCCTCATCGTTCGAGCATCAATGAGACCGCTCATGTCCTGGGCGGCCAAGCTGTACCGACTAGCCCTAGTACTTCAGGTGACAGCGAGGTGGTCCATGGCGCGCCAATCCCTTCAAGTGGCAGTCTTTGCCAGGGCAGTTTTCGAGGAACGTTGTGGTCTTACGCCACAAGAGCCGGAAAGCAGGACTTTTGACTTGTGTCCCTGATATTTCTTCTACCCCAAGCGAACAATACAACTGATGTGGAGAGTCTCTTTACTTCATGCAAAGTATATTGTGGCCTATATCCGTTGACAACTTGGTGGAATGCACAAGTATCAAAACGGTCGTGGGGATTGCACTCCTTCAAGGATATATGAGCCAATACGTGCTGCTCGCACCCTCTTGGAATACTGGGCGAAGGTGCTGTCGAATTGGCTGAGGCTATGATGGGAATCAAAAGAGCGGCGCGACGGAGGTTCATCACGAACTTGGGATCAAGCCCCAATCGAGTCTTTCACATTCTTGACAAGATCCATTACAAGACACCTCTAGAGACCATAATAGGTTTATGGAACCAATCACGGTAATAATTTCATACCGACGGGGATCAGTGGGTAACAGTCCCAATCCTCCAATCTGATGTTTGTTCTACAAATTGAACTGAATGCTTTTAGCTCTCTCATATATGAGCGGATCTCAGTCCGGAAAGAAAGGATACGACGGCGGGTGTTTATCCTCTTCAACGGTACATAGGAAGTAGACAATAGAACATATGCCACAGCTGTCCAGAAACTCCTTTCCCGTTCCATGTCTCAATCGTGGCTGACGATATTGTGTGAAGAGGTGATTCATTTGTGATACAATTATCTGCCGCCCTTTACCGCAATAAATGCCAGGCAAACCGATGGCGATGCAATCCGTGTCATCCATCTATAACCCATCAAATCCCCTTTTTGATAAGCCAACAGTTCCGACCCCATATTGTACAAGCGTCCTCCTAATCGAACAGCAGCGTCGTCTGCTTCTTCTCAACATCCAGCCCAATCAATCAATCAACAACTTAAAAGATCCCGCCCGCACCAGCACCCTTGGACGACTCCTGCTGTATCCGATTGATGTACTGCCTACTAACCGTATTCCACGCCGCCATGTACTTCTCCATGCAGGAAGTGAAGCAGGTAGTCTCGCCGCTCGACAGTGAAGAGCCGGGTTTAGGGACGCACTTCTCGAAGCAGTGCTCGTTGACTTTCTAATCGATAGTTAGGAGATGAGAATAGGGAGAGAGAGAGAGAGGGTCCGGGAAAGGAAAAGGGAAAAACATGCTTCGATTAATTGCCGGGCGTTGGTCATGGCGGCTTCTTGTCGTACTTGGTTCATGACAGCTGTTTTGGGGTCTGATGAGGCTGAGAAGCCAAGGCTGCTGCTGACGTTGTCCATCTCGACGGTATGCTTGTATGTGGATTGGATAGAGGGAATAGGAGGGGTCTGAGAGAGATTGTCGTAGAGATAGGTAGGTAGAATATGGAGCGTGGTGTGGTCGTGGAGGAATTATCTTGAACTGCTCGGGTTGAACAGCACGGCCAAATGTTTTTTACGGTAAGCTGATAGGTACAGCAAGGTGGTAAAGCTCGCTGTCGCCTCACGGCTAAGGCAGAGACGAGGCGCAGGCCGCTCGCGCTCTATTTGCAGGGATCAAGCACGAGGCCAGAGCATTCAGAAAGGCCAGTTAACAATTGTCGCCGTCGCCTTCAAAACCCAGAGCTCCGCGCGCCAACTCTCTCTCTTCCTTTCTTCTTGTTACCCGTCTTCTTTATTTCCTCGGCGACGCGCCCTCCGCACTTTTCTCTTGGGAATTCACGTCGAGGGAGATCGACAATATGTGGCCTTCCTTGTCACTGTCGGCTTTGTGGCTGGCAGCATGTGCTGTAGCTGCTGGCTCGGATACTGGGAGCACAAATGAGGAGGGAATCAGGAGTATACCGGTACCTTTGCTCTCTTGGCTTTGGAGAGGGGACTCCTGCTAATGGTCATTTCACAGCTCCGAACGCATACATTGAATCCGGTTAGTTACTGAACACAACCGGGGATCCTTTTGCCATGCCCCGCTGACCTGGAGAAATCAAGCCGTATTTAGATTCTGATATGCAAAGCCGATGGTTTGATTTTGGGGGGGATACTGTCATACGCGCAGACAAGTATGGGAGTTCCGTTGTGGTGTATGTGTTGGTCGCGTGCTGACATGCATATCCAAGATATATACGACTTACTCCAGATCGAGGTTCACGAGAAGGGTGGATCTTCTCTCGAGTGCCCCTGACTGCTACCAATTGGGAGGTAATTCTGTTCTTCTTCACACCAAGCTCCATACAAGTCTGACAATAGACCCCAGATCGAAGTCGAATTCCAGATCCACGGCAATGGCAACCTGCATGGTGATGGCTTCGCAATGTGGCTCACCAAACAACGAGCAACACCCGGGCCAGTCTTTGGCTCAACCGACAGGTTCGAAGGGCTAGGGATCTTTTTCGATACCTACAAGAACAACCGCCCCGGGACCGTCTTCCCCTATGTCATGGCTATGGTCGGTGATGGCACCAAGACATACGACAAAGCGAACGATGGGAAGGATAACGAATACATGGGCTGCTCAGCGAGAGGAATCCGAAACGCCAATGTTCGTACCAAGGCGAGGCTTACATATTTCCAAGACAAGAGCCTGAAGCTAGAAATCCAATACAAGGCGGAAGATCAGTGGGAATTGTGCTTCGAGACCAACGAGCCGCCGACGATCCCCTCGGTAGCGTACCTAGGTTTCAGCGCCGAGACGGGCGAGCTCAGCGACAACCATGATATAATCAGCGTCAGCACCAAGAACCTATACGACACGAAGCGGGCCGATGGTTCGGCAAACCGAGCAGGAGCCTCGAAGGGCAAGGACAAGAGGCCCGTCAAGCAGGTGGAGAAGAAGGGAAGCTGGGGCTGGTTCTTCTTCAAGCTCATCCTGTTCTGCGGCGTCCTGGGCGGCGGATATTTGGGCTACACGGCATGGCGGGCGCAGAAACGAAGCCACAGGTTTTAAAAAAGAAAAAAAAAATATTCATGTGCCGCAGGAAATGAATACCATGTTGCGTTTCTTTTGAACTTTCGGAGCGAACATATTTCCCAATGGGAAACGAACGAATGGACCTGGAAAAGACAAACAAAAAGGGAGAAAAAACTTAAAAAAAAGAAAAGAAAGCAACAAAACGTAGGAGAAGCGGGGTTCCAAAAAGTTCTCTTTTTTTTTGTCCCTTTTTCGAACTGCTCCAGACCTACCTTACCTACCTCTCTCTGTTCTTGATCCCATCCATCCATCCATCCATCCATCCATCCATCCATCCCAGCGTCTCTCTCACATGTTTTCATATTGCGGAGTTACATACATACATACATAGTTGACGATTCACGCAGCGGGAAAAAATTGATTTTCTTTTTTGGTCAGGAATTGTACAGTAGTAGGCCTTTTGCGAGCGAGCGAGCGTTTGCTTGAGATTGTCTGTCTGTTCGCTCGCTGTGCTTTCTAGGATGAAAGGTTATTTGGCCCCTAGGTACCTTAGTTACAGAGAGAAGAGCAAGCCGGCTGTTGTGGCTTGGATTCTTTAAGGAGGGGTTGAAAAGTTCACATGATGATATCAGAGAATTACCTACTTTACCTCTAGGTACCTAGGTATACAAAGTTTCACTCAGTGTCTCTGTGGTGGATGAGAAATACTTTGAATTCTGGCGATTGAATTCTAATAGCCCGTATACCCTCGCCAATCGCCAGCCAGCCTTGTGCCCAACACCTAAACCAGCCAATCCCAATCCCAGTCGTATCAATATCATCTATCTACGTAAGCAGCGTTTCAATCATAATCCATACAATCTGCTCATGAGGCAGTAAGGGCATTGCTTATGCCCATGATGGCCATCCCCGCGAACCCATATGTAATACACATATTGCTGTTATGGTTCAGGCTCAACCCCTCCAATAACAGCGTCAACGCCACGCTAGCCATGATGCCAGATGTGACGGCGAACATGCCACCATAGACGACCGAGCCTGGCACGAGGCCCCCACGGCCTGCAATCTTGAACCACGCAACCGCGATGCCTGCACCGACGGGTTGGCTTACGCTACCGAGGATAAAAGCCCAGAAAATCGCCCGCACACGACTATGTAATGCGAGGAATAGCGGGAGTGCCAAGGCAAAACCTTCGCTGATGTTGTGGATGAACAGAGCCGTGAATACGGAGAACCCGAGTGTCGGATTCACGTGGTTCGTGGCGTACGTGATGAACCCTTCCGGGAGCTTGTGGAGGGCGATGGCGATAGAGGTTTGGAGACCTATACTCATGAAGGCATTTTCCGGCACGTGGTGATGGTGCTGCGCCTCGAGATCTGTCTTGTCTAGCTCGCAGGTCTCATCGATTAGCTCGGGCGAATGCTCTCTCGTGGTTCTTTCGGAGGCAGTTCCTTGACTTGCTGCATGATCGAGATCTTGCCCGTCAAGGATAGACGCGACTGGAATTGAACCTCTGTTGCTACTCGCGACGCGGAGCACAGTAGGTGCTTTAGGACCGAGACGCATGAGGCACCCTTGACCACACGGATCAGTGTATCCATAACACGGTCCCTCCTCATCGCAATTGCTCTTGGTGTCCTTGACGAATGACAGGATTCGCTGTGGGACCTCAATCATTGAGGGCCTGCGCTCTGTAACTCTAGGGGCTTCCAGAGAGCGATTCTGGGATGATCCATCGACTTGCGAAACACCTCTCTTCGGTATCAATGGCCTCGAAATCCCTCCGTTTTCAGAAGAGAGAAGTGGCGTAAACTCTGAAGCTTTCCCATTTGCACTGCCCAGCGACCGGCCGCGGCTACCAGGGTGGGACCGTCCTCGCTTTTGGGGTCGACTATCATCATGGGCGATCTCTTCATGAGTGTGGTCGCAATTAACGGCGTGGGAGGGGATAAAGTGGTGAAGACATCTCGACACAGTCTGTATCCCAAGCACGCCGCCAATGAAACAAGCCAGCAACACCCAGCTAGCAGCCGATCCCGACAAGCCACCCTCCATGAGATACCTCTTTGATGACGGCAGCATGTTGTTCAGGGCAGAGAAGATCTAGGCTTATGTGTGAGCAGGTATGGTAGAGCCAAGTTCTCGTGGGGTGACAAACCATGACGCCAAAACTCAAGCTCAAGGACGATGCGAGGAAGGCATTGCTCTCTTGTATCTTGAAGTTCCTCTGGCTGGGGATCTGGCATACGAGCTTATCGATGCATATGATACTGGCTCCAATTACACAAGCTGCGAGAAAGTTAGGACCAGGCAGGATCTCGCACGGGTCACTCCAAGTCACTCACCAACACCACTCGTCACGCACATGACCCAGCCGCGAGTGTCGTTATCCATCTGGGCCTCCATAGTCACGGTATCCGAGGTTGTCTTGGTCGAGGGCTTGTCTCGGCTGCGGCTCGTGGGTTAATCTCGTGCAAGCCGCATAGGGATTTTGAGAGGGAGGCCAGTGCAGTGCAGTAAGGATGAAGAACAGAAAGAACACGTAAATAAATGAGAGGAGCAGCAGAGAGAGGGATGGGTTATGTATGGCGATTGGGGGGGGGAAAAGAGATGTAAGAAAGCAAGAGAATCCTCTGTGGTCATCGGGGATAGAAATGCTAGAAATACCAGAACTTGACTTCATCTATGGTGGACGACACTCCCGAAGCGGCAAACACCTTGAGGGATACCTCATCAGCCACTCACAGCGCGCGCATTGACCATCGGGCGAAGGCGGTGAGAGCAGACACCGCCTTTCCGCTTCTGTCAGATCCCCGGTCATTGGACGGCAGAACCCTTGCTCGACCCCTGGAAATCCGATTCCCCTTACTCGCTCGCGCAGAAAAAGACTTTGAACGTCTGTCACTCTCTCACAGGAACCTCGCACGCGCATTTGTGTCTCGACCGCGATCATCCGCGCCAGATCCTCTGCACCTGTCACCTCCAATATATACTCTTCCACTCCCTCAAGATGTCCAAGTCAACTCTCGCTATCATCGCAGCCGTCAGCGCAGCAACGGGTGCCGGTTTCACGGCAGCCATGTACTCGACGCGATCTGACAAGAAAGCGCAAGCTGTCTCCTCCTCCACCGCTGTCTCAGCTACATCAACAACAACAACTGCAGTCCCAGCCCCCGTCCCAGCCCCCGTTCCTATACCAGGAGCCCTCCCCGCCAAAGAAATCATCTCTCCGGTCGATCCAGCCGGGCTCTTCCAGTACGGCTTTCCCGGCCCCGTCGCAGACCTCGCAACCAGACCAGCCCTCGTCTCCTCCTACGACCGCCGACTGCGAAACCCCTCGTGGGTCGCCGAGCATATCACGCCCGAGTCATTAGCAGAATCGCACGGCGACCGCAAACACTCCGTCTTCCTCGAGGACCCTGCAGTCCCTGAAAAGTTCCGCGGCAAGCTCAAAGACTATTTCCGATCCGGCTACGACCGAGGCCACCAGGTACCCGCCGCCGACGCGAAATGGAGCCAGGAGGCCATGAACGATACCTTCTACCTCACCAACATGTGCCCGCAAGTCGGCGAGGGCTTCAACCGCGACTACTGGGCGCACTTTGAAGATTTCTGCCGCCGCCTCACGACCCGCTACCCCAGCGTGCGCATCGTGACGGGGCCGCTCTACCTCCCGAAACGCGACGCCGCCGATGGGAAATGGCGCGTCTCCTACGAGGTGATTGGCAACCCGCCCAACATCGCCGTGCCGACCCATTTCTACAAGGTCATCTTCGCCGAGGACGGCACCGTCTCGGGCCCCGTCGCCGTCGGCGCCTTCGTGCTGCCCAACGCCCCGATCCCGAACGAGAAGCCGCTGACCGATTTCGAGGTCCCCGTCGAGGCCGTCGAGAGGGCCAGCGGGCTCGAGTTCGCGACCAAGTTGCCCGTGCAGCGACGCAAGAGGCTGTGCACCGACACGACGTGTGCGCTGGTCATCAAGGATTATGCGGATAGGCAGAAGGCGTTTGCGAAGGATGCGAAGAAGTCGAGTCCGAGAAATTAGAATCTTGTGAGATATATATATACAGATATGTATTAGTGCAGAGGGTGGGCTCGCAAGGGCATTCTTGTTTTTTCTTTTCTGGTTGCATCTTTCAGGCGGGGGCGCATTTGCATCATAGCACGGCGTTTGATTCTCTGGCTTGCTTGCTTCAAATGCATGTATGTAGTCATATATATAGTGTAGCATTAGAAAGAAACATTTCACAATATAAAGCACAGAAAAATGCAGGGTTTAAAAGAAAAAAAGGTGGACGCATGTATGTAGGTATGTATCCCTTGTTTCTGTCCTGGCTTCGTGCACCTAACGCCAAAGGTATCTCATTTTTACCCCCCCCCCCC